GCCTGTTCTACATAGTGAGTTCTGGGCCAGCCCCACTACAGGGAGACCCTGTCTCAAAAAGACCAAAAAAAAAAAAAGAGAGCACTTGCTGCTCTTCCAGAGGACCCAAATTCAGTTCCTAGCACCCACATGGCAGCTAACACCCATCCTTAACTCCAGTTCCACAGGACCTGACACCCTCTTTGGCCTCTTTGCACACCAGGCACACACATGTTGCACATACATGCAGACAAAACACTTATAAAATTAAAAAATCTTTAAAAAGAAATGGAATTGCTAATTTTATCATAACTTTGTTTAACATTTTGGAAATCTGACATACCTCCATAGTGGTTATTCCATTGTACATCCTCATAACTAGTGTCTGAGTATTCCAGTTTTTCCATCTTCTTGCCAGCACTTGTTATTGTCTCTTTTATTTTAGCTGTTCTGTGAGATGAGAAGTGATATCTCATTGTGGTTTTATTATATATGTGTATGTGTTCATGTGGGGATGCACATGTGTGTGTGCATGTGGAGGCCATAGTCAACCTTGGGTGGTATTCCTCTGGAGCTGTCTACCAGGGTTCTTATCGCCACCTCCCCAACACACCTGGTGTTTTATGTGGGTGCTGGAGATAGAACTCAGCTCCTCTTGCTTGCGCAACAAGCCCTTTACCAAGTGAGCCATCTCCCCAGGCCTTACTGCACTTCTGTTAAGATTTGCAGTGTTCAGCCAGGTGTCATTTTAAATGCCTTTAATTCTGCATTTGGGAAGCAGGGATCTCTGTCAGATGGAGGCCAGCCTGATCTCCATAGCGGATTCCAGGCCAGCTGGGGCTAGAAAGAGACCATGTCTTAAAAAGACACCTCCCCCACTAAAAAAAAGATTTGCAGTGTTGAAGATTTGTGCTGCGTACAGACCCTCCATGGATATATAGTGCATCTTTTCTCACTTGCACATCCTTTGAGAGCAAACGGCTAGTTTTGCTGTAGCATAGTCTGCCTTTTTAGTTGATTGCTGGGTTTTGTGCACACTTTAGGAAGGGCTTGCATTCTGGAAGGTCTCAGATACTCTCCTTTGCTTTTTCTCTACAAGATTTATTGTTTTTTTGACCTTTGACCTGCCATCCACTTGGAATTGACTTTTGAGAGACAGCATTGAAAATGATCTGTCTTCCCAACTAGGACCTTACAGGTCTATTTCTTTATTTAAAGAGTAGCAGGTATTTAATTCTTGGTTGAAAAGGTAACTAGTATCTATGTACTAATCAGTTATAAAAATTTGTCCTCAGGTGCTAATCCCCTGTGGGAAAATGAGTTTAAGAGCTGACCCGCTCTAGTCACAAGCTGGAGGCTTAGCCGACATTTCATGAACTTTAACTCATTGGAACTTTGCAATATTTTTGTAAAATAGGCAGCACATTATCCTTATATTTGTGAGAAAACTGAGTTCTGGAGAGGTGAATAAACTTTTCAAAGCTCACACAGCCAGTAAGTGAGCAAAACCATTGCTTAAAACTGTCAGTCTACTCTAAAACTCTATTCTTTTTTCATTACACAGTTTAAAAAGTCTCAGTTAAATGTTTTTAAATTTCTAATTTAATGTGTTCAACTTAAATTTGTATATTTGACCCAGTGATAAATATCAAATGGTCTGTGGAGTTAAATATATATAGATATTTAAAAAAAAATTTTTTTCTAGTCTTTTTGAGACCTGTAGATCTGCCTGCCTCTGCCTCCTGAGTGCTGGGACTGCAGACATGCACCACCAAGCCTGGTGTAAAATTTATTTATTTTAATTTTTAATGTGTGAGTGTTTTGCTTGTATGCATACAATTCCCATGGAGACCAGAAGAGAGTGTTGGATCCCCTGGAACTGGAGTTAACAAAGGGTTGTTAGCTACTATATGGGTGCCATCCATATGCAACTGGGACCTGGGAACTGAACTCATGTCCTCTGTAAGAGCAGCTAGCACTCAACTATTGAGTCATCTCTCCAGCACATGATAGACAGACAGACAGACAGACAGACAGACAGACAGACAGACAGACAGACAGATAGATAGATAGATAGATAGATAGATAGATAGATTTGGTAGGTAGGTAGGTCAGATGGATGGACGGACAGAAAGACAGATTTTTTAAAAATTAAGGTGAATTTGAAGGAAGTAGAGGATAAATGAACAATTGATACCTTATAAAGGACAGACAGTTGAAATAGTAACCTGATGTTGGGGAGATTAGGTGCCAAGGAGATTCTTATCAATGGATAATATTTCAAGAGAACTGTCCCCATGTAGACTTCAGATGCCTTGTTGGAAGCCTTGTCTTACTTTCCATGCTATGAAAAATAGGAAAACTATCAGAGAATCTTTCCCAGAGCACCCTCTGCTGGTGTCCTAGCAGTAATTAAGATAACCAACTTGGCCACAATTTGTGCTGGGCACTGATGGTATGTAATAAATTTGAGAAAGAAATTAATTTCAAGCTCCATTAAAAACGAAGGAAATCGATGTTTGTAGCAAATGAAATTGAAAAACAGAAAAGGTTGTTTACTTATTTTAGAATTCAAACTATTGAATCCTTTAGCGGTACAGAAAGAATTCTTCTGATGGTATTGGAAACTTTCCATTTCAAACAAATACTTTAAACTTTATACTCTGAGGGTGGCATGGTAGGAATCAGTGTTCAGTATCAACTTTGGATATGGATGATATTACAGAAGTGCTGTCCTTAGCTCTGTTTAAAACTAAAAGATAAGCTTTTTTCAGGGAAGAAGTCGAAAACTGATCAGAAAACTACTTGGGTGCTAAGATGAAATGCTCTGGGTGGCCATTCAGAGGCATTCATATTTAGATAGTCAGAGATTAGATCGCAATGCATTAGAAGAGAAACCCCACTCTGAGGACTTCTTAGGTGAGTCCTGGGTTGGTTTATCTCTTTTGTATACCTGAGGCATTTCACAATTACTCGATAACCACTCTGGCCAGGCATTTCATACCTAGGAGATGGTACTTTTCCCCCACCCCTTGATTTTTTTCCCATTGTTTGTTTGTCTCCCTGCAGTGTTGCCCATCCGTCCTCAAACTGGCAGTTTTCTTGCCTCTGCTTCTTGATTGTCACCATTTGCCTCTTCAGAGTTGCCACTTGAGAAATCTGTCTGATATTTTGGCTTTCAACCATTTTACTTGATAATACATAAATTGGGAAATAGTTTCCCTTTAAGAAAACCAGCTATGCCAGGAGTGGTTGGTGCACACCTTTAATCCCAGTATTTGGGAGGCAGAGGCAGGCAGATCTCTGTGAGTTCAATCAAGGCCAGCCTGGTCTACATAGCGAGCAAGTTCCAGGCCAGCTGGGGCTACAGGGAGACCTGTTGCAATAAGATAATAAAGAACTAACACCCATAAGTAATGAGACCTTTTGATACTGATTTGTTTATTGGAACTAACACCTTTAAATAACTATTCTCTTCAATATTTAACTTATTTATTTTTAAAAAGAAAAAAGGTTTAACCCAAAATTTTCAAGAAATTTACATAAAACAAAATTAAAATTTTAAATAATTTAAATATCTAATTTTTGTTCTTTAGGGTTAATGACAGTATGATTTGGCATAAAGTAAATAAGAAACGTTGACCCAAGAAGAGAAGCATAATTCTGAGTGGCATTGGTGTTAGACATGTGTATTCAGGAGCAACCTGGGCACTATTTTAAAAGCATTAATTTATTACTGTGGGACTATCTACTGCTTTGTATGTGAATAAATATGTGTGAACTACTATTTGCATAGCCTGAGAATTGACATTGTATGTCCTAAAGCTGGGCACCATGGCTCATACCTGTAATTCCAACACTAGGAGTCTAAGGTAGGAAGATTCTGTGAGTTCCAGGCCAACTTGGGCTGCAGCATGAGTCACTGTTTCCAAAAATCTGTGTAGTCTGTTACAGAAAATCAGCCTACAAATATTAGTGCCAACTTTGTATTTTATTTTTAAATTATTTTTATTTTTGTTATTTATTTATTTTGGTCTTTTTGAGACAGGGTCTCCCTGTAGCCCCACCTCCCAATTGCTGGGATTAAAGGCATGCACCACCACGCCTGGCCTAAATTATTTTTATTATATATTTATAATATATTGTGAATTTTTTGCTAATAATGGATGTAAGTGTACCACATATGTGAACTGCCTACAGAGGCCAGAAGAGGGTGTTGGATCCCTTGAAACTGGAGTTACAAATGGTTGATAGCTACCATGTGGGTGCTGGGAACTGAACCTAGGTCCTCTGTAAGAGCAGTCAATGCTCTTAACTTCTGAGCCATCTCTCTAGCCCAAACTTTTTATTTTGGGGGTTAGTTTTGACAGTGTTAATAACCTCAAGCAGAAGAAAGATTCCTTACACTGTCATGAAAATATTTTTGGAAAAGCACATTGCAAAGTGCATTCTATTTACTTTTTGGGTGTTTTGTTTATATTTCTATTGCTGTCTGTCAGTGTTACTGTAAATTCAGAAAATTTGCTCATTAATTTTAATCCATTTTGAATCTTCCCTCTTAGAACCTCCTATCTTTTTATAGCCCTTGATCTGTTAAGTTTTGTGATTAGAGGGCTTTTGCCACTCCCCTGCCTCTTCCTTGTTCCTCAGCTGGTTTAGATTGTTGTCTTGACATTGTTCCCTCTTTAGTGTTGAGCTGACAGGTACGTTACAAATAGTGGTCAAAGAATAAATGCTTGAAGTTGTCACTCAGTTGTAATGATTGTTTGTCCTGTCATCTACTGATAGTTGGAAGGACCTTCCCCTGCCCCCAAGAAGATTCACAGGAAGAATAGGTAGAATGTAGTTAGCTGGAAGAATATTATCTGGGACAGATGAAGAGTAATGAGAAAACTAACATGTGCCTATATTTCATTATCAGTGAAATTAATCTCTTTTCACTAGCAGAGGATAGGCATTGACATTTAACTTGCAATTTTAATTAAGCTTGGTATTTTTCATTTTGTGCATTCTTTTTTCAGGTACAAGAAAACTCCCCAGGACATAGAGCTGGACTGGAGCCTTTCTTTGACTTTATTGTTTCTATTAACGGTTCAAGATTAGTAAGTTCAGTTTTTGTAGTTTTGTATGTAGAACTTTGTAATTCTTTCAAAATGGAATTTTTCAGATTGTCTGGGATGGGCGTATATCAGTTACTTTTTAGAAGTAAACATGTTGGGGGCCAGTGAGGTGGCTCAGTGGGTAAAGATACAGCCTGATGACCCAAGTTCAATCCCTTGAACCCGCACAGAGGTGGAAGGAAAGAACTGACTCCTCACAGTTGCCCTCTAACTGTGTGCACACTCACACACACATCATGCACAAGCACATACACAATAATAATAAATTTTAAAAGTTTTAAAGAATCATGTTAATCAGTATTAAAATGTCAAGTCTAAACTATATCTCACACTCCAGTGATTATCTTAGAGAAGTCGAATCATTACAGACTTTTACTTTATATGTTAAGTTTTGGTGTTTATAAAACAAAAGAAGTAGCGAAGATGAGAAAGATTGTTTTTAAAGAAGTCAGATTTTTCTAGGCAGTTGACAAATGGATTAGGAAAGTGTCATTTGCCTGTCATTCTGTTGGAGCTCAATTCCATGATATGTAAATTATTTTACTGGAACCAGACAAAGAGATATTCTCAAAGTACAGGATTAAAATTGCTTTTTCTAAATTGTTTTTGGTATATTTGTAATATAGTCCTTTGGAAAAGAAATCATGTAACGTCAGCAAAAGAATACTATTTTATAAAAGTAACTGTTTGATTGGTTTATGTTTTAAAAGTCTTAAGTTTCATGGTGGCCTTTATGTAATGAAATATTTAACATTCTGTTTCCTTTTAGCCTGAAATAAATAATAAAACGTGCATTAGAAGTAGAGTCCAAAATGAAACTTTAAGCTCAGCAAATATTTTAGATTTTAAAATCAAAGTCATTGTAATTTTGTTAGTAATATAACTTCTTACAGCATATTTTTTATCTTATGTATATGAATGTATTGTCTATATGTATGTACACTGTTGTCATGCAATGCCCGCAGAAATCAGAAGAGAACATTGGATCCCCTGGAACTGGAGTTATAGACGGTTTTTAGCCACCTTATGGGTGCTGGGAATTGAAACCAGGTCTTCTGCAAGAGCAGCCAGTGCTCTTAACCTCTGGGCCATCTCCCCAGTACCATCTTACAGCATATATTGCTTTTAATCACTGAAGTTCCATGATCACTCTGAATAGTGTTGGGTTACAAATTCCATGGTCTGCTCTTAGAAAAATAGCCAGTTTGAAGTTGTTGCTAACATTGAGAGTTGTTTTTAGTTTCCTGACGTTCTCTTCTTGGAGAAACATTTGAATGTTAATGAAACCTTTGAAGTTTTTATTTATATTGACTATTAATATCACTCTTATAAAATGCTTAAACTAATAATTAGCATACATTTTTATTAAATACTATGATTTTTGTGTGTTCATAGAATAAAGACAATGACACGCTTAAGGATCTGCTGAAAGCCAATGTTGAAAAGCCTGTAAAGATGCTCATCTATAGCAGCAAAACCCTAGAGCTTCGAGAGACCTCAGTCACACCAAGCAACATGTGGGGCGGCCAGGGCTTGTTGGGAGTGAGCATCCGTTTCTGCAGCTTTGATGGGGCCAATGAGAATGTTTGGCATGTGCTGGTAGGTAATGACCATGAACTGTTCCCTTCAGTGGAAGAGCAGCATAGAAAGATGATGTGACACTGGGCCATCTGCAGGTTGGAAGATGGTAAAGGTATTATTATTAGGCCAGTTTGGGTTCCTGAAAAAATCAGCATTCATTGCTTTTTAAATGTGCATTTTTTTTTAAACTCAAGGAAGAGAAACAAATATGGAGGCCAAAGAGCTTGCTAATGCAGACAGTTGAGAAATAATTTAAGTATTAAATATTATGTAAATTTGGTGATTAGAAAATTTAAATACATAGATTCTTTAATTTCTCACATCTAATGTTATCTCTGATAAGAAAAATATGGGGGGTTCTTTAATCACTGTAATTAAGAACTGTCACAATAATGCTTGGAAGATTTTTTTTTTTTGGTCTTTTTGAGACAGGGTCTCCCTCTAGCCCCAGCTCTCCTGTTACTCACTATGTAGACCAGGCTGGCCTTGAACTCACAGAAATCCACCTGCCTCTGTCTGCCGAGTACTGGGTTTAAAGGCGTACACCACCACACCCAGCAGAAGATTGTTTTTTTATATATTAAATTTGGAATGTGTTTTTGTGTCATCCTAGGAAGTAGAATCAAACTCTCCCGCGGCACTGGCAGGACTTAGACCTCACAGTGATTATATAATTGGAGCCGATACAGTCATGAATGAGGTAATTAGAGTGTTGCTTAATAAAAATTATAGAGGTAATTGTTCTGTTCATTAATCATGAAAATTAGATGATATTTTCTCATTGATGTTTGAATTCAGGATATTTACAGCTTTGCATTTAGAGCTAAAATTTCCGTTTTTGCTGATACATATAGCTTATGCCTGAGGGCATCAAATGCAACATCTGGGAAGTGTCTTCTTACTATAGCTGTGAGGAAAAACACCACATGGGATACACAGAAACCTAATGTGTACCTCGAAATTACAGCAAGCTCTCATCTTCACCATTGATTTGATTTATTACTCATTTGTTGCAGTGCTGCAAATAGTCTCCCTTTTTCTTTCAAAGATGCCAAAATTAGCTCAGCTGTATTAGTCAGATCTTTTTCCTCATCTGTTATCTAGTGGAACTACACATTGCTAAATCAAAATGAGAGGCAAAAAGGTGCCTGGGTAACCAGGTTTCAGTAATGTAGAGTAAAGCAGAATCTCTGGAACCTGAGAGATGTAGTTTTTAATAAGAATACTGACTTTGGAAGTGGGCCTAGCATCTAGTGGGCTTGCTTGAATTGATATGGTGAATTGTACATTAAATTAAACTTTGTTTGGCCTGTTGGTATTAAATAGCAATTTCCATGTCTGGGGCAAGGCCTAGAACCTGATTTTTTTTTTTTTTTTTTTTTTTTTTTTTTTTTTTTTTTTTTTGCGCTTATTGGAGTAAAGGCACCTGCACTTAAAAAGGACAATAGTCGGTCACAAAATTCATTAAAGTTCTTTTTAAAGGCGTGCGCCATCACGCCCGGCTGAACATGAATTTTTTTAAGGAAGTTTCTTAGCTGATTTTAATAAGAACCAAGTTTTGAAACCACTGTTCTGAAGTATGGTACCTTAAAATTTCTCCTTTGATGTTGTGCAGTCTGAAGACTTGTTCAGCCTTATTGAAACACATGAGGCAAAGCCCCTGAAGCTCTATGTGTACAACACGGACACTGATAACTGTCGAGAGGTGGTAATTACACCAAATTCTGCCTGGGGTGGAGAAGGCAGGTAAGGGTCGTTTTTAAGATGGAATTAGGCCTGCTTAGACTTACCAGTCAGATGTGTTATAATGCTGAGTACTTTTATTTCAAAGGAAGTTATTGATTCATTATAAGACACATTGAAAAAAAGAATTGACCTAGAATATTAAATTAATAATTCATTTTTAAAGGCTTTCAGAAGTATCCGTGCATGACTACTCAGAAAGTGCCACATACTTTAGGAAGTACATGATCATGACAGAAACTTCTTGTGAAAGCCTTACATACCATGGTCAGGAACTTGCCTACACTTTGAGCATTGAGACTGTGATATCTTATCAGTAGACATTTACTAACTCCAACACGTAGAAAGCAGCTGTTACCATCATAAGCAGACATGCACCCATTCATATGGATTAACTCATGTGGTTAAAGAGACAGCTAAAGACTCAGCTGTGAAAAAAGCAGGACTTCAGATATCTCCAGAATTCCATTGATGAAAGGATGAAAATATTTTTGGTGTTTCTGTCACTTCTAAGATTTAAAGCCCTGGGCAAGAGGAGTAGGTTGACTGGCTTTGGCCATGAGCTGCTCTCTTGGATTGGGGAGGACAGACCAGTGCTTGACAGTCCCACCAGCACTGCATCCGGAGACAGTCCCACCAACACTGCACACACAGAGTAATAATTCCCCCCAGAAAGAAAGAGAAAGGATGGTGGAAAGAAGTACTGTGATCACATCTTTATAGAAAGGCCTCTGATGACAGAGGCCAGATGAATTAGAAGAAACCAACATCATATATACAGCTGGTTTGTGCTGTATTCTGCAAATGCTATCATCATGCGGGTGTGTTTAGAGCTCTTCAGTGGACAGGCTGGGTGTGATTTATTCAGGAAGTAGTTGCGTATCTACCTAGTGCCAGGCCCTGTGATGGCGGTAAACAAGCAAGAATTTTGTCTCTGCAGGCCTTAGCAGTTTAGTGAGGGAGACAAACAAACAGTAAACATGCCATGTGTTGAATGGTGACAAATGTTTGAAGAAAACTCAGGAAGTAAGAGTAGTATCCACGGTGGAAGGAAGCATACTGCCCTTATAGGGTAGACAGCAGAGACTTTTCGAAAGATGGCATTATTTAAAAGAATGAAAATGTAGGTGGAAGCAGGAGGATCAAGAGTCTTAAGGCCAGCCTGAGCTACATAAGACCCTGTGTCAAAATCAGTGTTTGTCTGGGGGGAAAATGCATGTGTTTATAAATGCTTCAAACCCTCAAAGAAATGCAAGCAGTGTTTTATAACAATAAGAAAAAAATGTGCTTTTATAGCTTAGGGTGTGGTATTGGCTACGGTTATTTGCATCGAATACCTACGCGCCCATTTGAAGAGGGGAAGAAAATTTCTCTTCCAGGACAAATGACTGGCACACCTATTACTCCTCTTAAGGATGGGTTTACAGAGGTAAGATCATTTTGTTACCTGGTCATTTCTGGGTGTTGAAGCATGTGGTGGTGGTACTACTTGGGGTCAGAAGGTGATGAGCTTAGTTATTAATCCTGATGTTGAACTTGAGGTTCCTCTATATCTGGAAGAAGATAAGATCTATGCTTCTGGGCTTTATAGAGGTTGCAGGTGCAGATCTGAGTATCATGAACAAAGAAGGGAATTTAGCCCAGTGAATAGTGATGAAAATTGTCAAGAATTAGGCTTGCATGGGTCAGAGGACTGTCTGGATGAACAGACAGAATCCAGAAAGGAAGCTTAGGAAAAGAATACAAAGGGGGGAAAGTCTCAAGAAAAGGGTGTCAGTCAGAGTAGGTGCCACAGAGGTGCAGGTGAGAGGAGTGGGAAAACACCCTGGGGAAGAGCCATCTCAGAGTCAGTGGGGCAGAGAGCATGGTAGATGACAAGGGAAGCTGGCTGGTGCTTTTTTAGTAAGCTTCATTGAAAAGCACGGGCTTGCAGGATTTTTTAATGTTTCTTAGGAAGGCATCCCAGCTGGTTACCTCTTACCTACACAGCTAAGTAAAAGCCACACACCCAAAAATGAAAACGTAAAGGCAGGGAACAACCACTGTCATTTTCTTAAAAGATTTATATTTATTTTTATTTATATATATATACATGTGTGTCTGTCTGTATGTATGCCCTGTGTGCAGGCGCCCACAGAGGCCAGAAGAGGGTGCTGGATCCCTTGGAGCTGGAGTTACAGGCACTTGTGAGCCATCGAACATGGGTGCTTGCTGAGAACTGAGCTTGGGTTCCTCTGTAAGAGCGGCAAGCACTCTAACTGCTGGGTCATCTCCAGCCCCTTCACACTGCCATTTTATGATACACAATTTGGCCTTCCCCAATTCCAGAGGAAGTACAGCAGCTGAGAAGTTTCACCTCACTCCTCAAGGTTACCCAAGGCTCAGAGCCAAGCCTGAGTAGTTCCATGTTCTGACTTTACCACCATCTCTTCCACCCCCTAATTGGTGCCCTCTGACCACCATAAGCCTCCCTGGATAGTCTATGAAGACCAGAGGGTGCAGCAGCATCTAGGGAAGGGCAGCATGCTAGCTGACAGAATACAGAGTCATGAACATATTCAGAAGCAACTCTGGATGCAGGAATCTGTGGAGTGCCTAGAGACTAGACTCCTGAAAGGTGGAGATCTCACTGATGAGATAAGATTGAACAAATTCAGGTTAGAAATCTTAAGAAACTTCAAGAAAACTATGGTATTAAGACTTCCAGCAGATTTCTTCCATTGGCAATGAAGTTTTAAAAACACAAAATCCCCATGCTGGGCATGGTGTGTTTAATCTCAGCACTCAGGAGGCAGAGGCAGGTGAATCTCTATGAGATTGAGGCCAGCCTGGTCTACATAGTAACTTCTAGGTCAGCTGGGGCTGCAGGGAGACCCTCAAAAAGACAAAACATAACAAAACACAAATCCCCAAACCAGCCAGCTGAGAATTCAGAGAGGAAAGTCAGTAGTATATAAAGGCTAAATAAATATTTGTGGGTTGTTACAAAGGAAAGAGTAGACTTTCTTGTGTGAAGGTAACTAGGCAGAGAAGGGAGGTGTCAAGAGTCGAGAGAGGCTCCTCATGCTTAGTCCCCTTATTATCAAAACTAGGAGTGCCTAAATGCAAAAGTGTCTGATGATACTTGGGACAGTAGTATATGGTCCAAATAATTCTTAAGTAATTCTCTTTTTCCCTCCTTTTTGGAAGGTCCAGCTGTCCTCTGTCAGTCCCCCATCTTTGTCACCAGCAGGAACTACAGGAATCGAACAGAGTCTGTCTGGACTTTCTGTTAGTTCAAATCCACCAGCTGTCAGCAATGTTCTCAGTACAGGTATACAGAAATATGTGTTCTATTAGCAGTCTACTTTGTCTTATGTGATATTCTTACATAAAAGTTTAAGAATTAAGGCCAATATGCCCTGAAAACTGTAATGTGCTCAGCATTGACAGGCAGGTCCCGTCTGTGAAAGCACTAATAACCACTTGGATTTAATAGCTTCTCTGCACAGTGATCCTTCTCTTAGATTATATCTTGCAGAGTTGGGACTCCACCCTTCTCTGTCTAATTGCTCTGTTTGCTCAACAGATGTTTGTTTCCTAGGGAGTAGGCACAAGGGTATAAAAGAGAACAAGTACTGTTCCTTTCTTAGGAGCTCAGTCTTACTCAGGGGGCATATGCCTAGTTCCCTCCTTGTCTTTATACTTTTGATAGAGTCCTTTTTGTTTTATTTTGGTTTGGAAACAGTTTTATGGAGATAAAATTCTCATACCTTATAACTCATCTATTTTAAGTGGTTTTCAGTATATTTGCACAGTTGTACAACTAATACCTCAGACAACTTCGAATACTTCATTGTCCCCATGATTTCCTACTCCAGTCCCTAGTTTTCCCCAGCATGCCAGGCTGAGGCAGCTACTTATCTTCCCACTAATCTTCCCTTCCCAGTCTGCACATTTCCTACAATATTCATGGTTTTTTGTGAGTGACTTTGTGCACATACTCTAAATGTATTCAAGGTTCATTTATTCTTTTCACATATACTAATAGTTCATTTCTTCTTATTGCTAAATGTTCTACTGTATGACTATGTCACATTTTTTTTATCCATTCATCAGTTGGGGGATAGTTAGGATGTTTCTCCTTTGGGGCTTTTCTGAATACTTGAGTATGAACTTTTGTGTAGAAGTCTTCACTTCAGCATGTGCTTCATTTCTCTTTGGGCATACACCTTGGAGTGGAGTTACTAGGTTGTGACATAGTTTTTAACTTGATTTGCTGGAATACACACACACACACACACACACACACTTTTTTCTGATCCCCTGTTTTCTGGTTTTCACTCTATAATGTCAATATCATATACTTAGAATTGAGTAAATGAATGAAATACTGACCTGTTTAATTATATCTAATTATATACACTATTTGCTTATCCTCTACTTTGTTCTGGAACGGACAGTAAATAGCTTACAAGAAGCAGTAGTAAGGTGAACAGTGCAGTGTCTAGAGTTGGTCACTTTGGTTCTAATTCTGCTGCTTTTCAGAATCTTGGTTTTACTTCTCAAAAGTGTGTTCTACTAGATGAAATTAAAAACTCCACACACAGCAAAGATGATGAGCATGTAACAAATCTGGCTTCGTCAGTCGTGCATGTATGACTTACCTCCCACCCTTTCTTGCTCATTTCTTCTCCAGCCTTATATACTATACAATTAGCTCCCTAGAAGTTCATGATTTTTAGCAAGTTTATAGAACTGAAAGTTCTTTGTGGATATAAAAGTTTTGGGAATATGAAAATTTTAGAATATGAAGATATTTTAAAATGGCTTTAATCAATGTAACTTTTTTTTGTACATACCTCACGTGGTATGCCCTCCTTCCTCCTTCCTTGCTTGATTTTTCTGGATAGAACATACCACCATTTTATAAGCTGTGGGTTTCACTTGTTTGGTGTCTGGTTTTGTTGATGTGTGTCTCCTTTCCTTTTCCTGCTCCTTATTAAAGTGTTGTAATTTCTGTTTCTTCCTGCTGAGAAGGGCCTCAGTGCCTTGAACAATATATAGCAGACAGTCAGTGCCTCCAACTTGAGTACATGAACTCACTAACCACCTTCCCAACTCCTTTTAGACTCTGATAATGGCAAAGAACTCTCTTAACACCTTGCATATGATTTTAGCAGCTTTACAGACCCCTTGAAGCCCATCCATGGCCCTAGATTATAGTTCCTGGCTTAGATTCAGTCAGTTATTTTTTGTTATTCTTTTTTCAAAAAGAAAGAAACATTATGTGGAAACTTTTATTAGGAAATAGAATTTGCAAGTAAATTCAGGCTAATTTTGTTTTTTATTTTTCCTTGATATATATATATTTTTTAATGTGTATGAGTACCCAGTACTTACATACATTGCCTGCATGTATGTAAGTGCACAGGCAATTGATGAGAATCTTCATGTCCATCTCCAGACTTTCAGGAGTTTCCTAATTCAGCCTAGCCTAGGTCAGGGGCAAAGCTATTGTCTAGTGAGCTTGTTCAGGGGAGGTTTATATAGCTTCCCGTTCCCTAACTAGGCTGTGGTTAAGGTGTCTGTCAGGGCCATGGGCTTCGAGATGGATTGGCTCTGATGGGTGGTAAATAGCAAAGGATGCAGCCAAAGTTGGGACTGAAGAAGACCTGACCATGATGAGGGGATGGCCTGGAGTTCCTATATGTAGTCTGTTCATTCTTTTTCGGTAGAATTTGTTCTAATTTCTTTTATATGCTTTTGTTTTAGGTGTACCAACAGTACCATTGTTACCACCACAAGTAAACCAATCCCTTGCTTCCGTGCCACCAATGAACCCAGCTACCACATTACCGAGTAAGCAGTGGGCTAGAGACGTGTGTTTAGTAATGTTTGCATCTGAAAGGTACCTATGTGGTGACTGTGTCTTAATTATCATGTTATCACTGCAATAACTTTGTGACAAAAGAGAACATGTGGTAGCTGTTCCCTTAGACAAGGAAATAGATGTTAGTTAGCTGGACTCCCCAGCTAACTCCCCCTCCCCCAATCTCACACACATTAAATTTTTTTTTTGTCTTTTTGAGACAGGGTCTCCCTGTAGCCTCAGCTGTCCTGGAACTCACTATGTAGACCAGGCTGGCTTCGAACTCACAAAGATCCGCCTGCCTCTGCTTCCCAAGTGCTGGGATTAAAGGTGTGTGTCACCATGCCCAGCAGAACTTTATTATATGTATGAGTGTATTACCTGCATGTGTATAAATGCACCTATGTCATGCAATGCCTTTGGAGGTCAGAAGAAGGTGTTAGATCCCCTGAAACTGGAATTAATGGGTGTTGTTAGCCTCCATATGGGTGCTAGGAACCAAGCAGGGGTCTTTTGCAAGAGCAGCCAGTTCTCTTAATTGCTGAGCCATCTCTCCAGCCCCCCGTGCATTAAAACTTTCTGATGATGGTTCTTGAGACTGTCCTGGATGAGAGCACTCCATATTTGGGTCTTCAGGAGCTCAAATGTTAAGTGTTTGTGTTTTTCTTTTAGTATTTCCAATGTGGACCAAGTCTCTTTGTCTAGCTAATAATAATGAAATATAATTTTGTCGTTAGGGCCTTTCATTGCAAGTTGTCAATACAGGGGCATAGTCAGCGGTGAACTGGGTGCACAGATTGGTGAAACAAGTGGGCTAAGCTGTTGGCTTGGGGGTTTGAGGTGATAGGTGTGCCTTGGGATGCTCGTCACTACTTGAGCAAGTATAAATCTGAAATTACACAGAATAAGAAAGGAAGCCAGAGGCTGTAAGCATGATCCATCCAAAAGTTCAGTTCTGCCCACTCTGTAGCTGCTGAAATAAATGAGCCTTTTTCTCCCAGGCATTTAGCCACTGGCCATCAGTACGCTCATTCCAGGATTTTGGGAACATTAGTTATTTGTTTTGTTTGGTTGGTTTTGGGTTTTTGAGGCAGGGTCCCCAGCTGGCCTGGAACTCATTGTGTAGACCAGCCTGACTTCATTCTCATAGAGATCTGCCTGTCTCTGCCTCCTAAGTGCTGGGATTAAAGGCATGTGCCACCACATCCAACTTAATTATTTGTTTTAAACTTTACCCATGTCTCTGCCTAATCACTTCTAGAGACATATTTCCACTATGTGAGATTTGGTTGTTGCTAATGTTACTTTGTGATACAAAACCATCAGACATTAAGTGAGCCCTGGTGTTGGCACTTTGATGCTGGTAGGATTTTCATCATATACAAGGATTTATCTGTTCCTTTCCCCAGGTGAAGTGACTTAACTTGTGTTCTTTCCTGCCCTCTGCCAGGTCTGATGCCTTTGCCAGCAGGACTGCCAACCCTCCCCAATCTCCCAAGCCTCCCTAACTTCAACCTCCCTGCCCCTCACATCATGCCAGGGGTCGGCTTGCCAGAGCTTGGGAACCCAGGTATATTGCATGCTGTACATTCCTAGGACACTGTTAATGAAAGCTGTATTCAGGAAAGCCAGTCCTCTAATTCAGTCTTCTCTGGAAAGGCAAATCAGCTCAACAAATTTCAGCAACTTCAAATCAGTATTAATCTTTTTATTTAAGTGGTTTAAATAAAAACAAGAGGAAAGTAGAGTGTCTGTATCCTCTGCCGACTGCCTCCCTCCCTGCCTTTCCCTCTTCCTATACTGGGTCAGCTGGCCCGGAGAGGCTGTCACAGAGAAGAGCAGTGGTGTGGCTTTGCTGCACTGAGGAATTGGATGACATCTTGTAGAGGTGCATGAGTCCCGGCTTGTCTCTTCCTGTTTAGGGCTGCTGCCCACAGGAAATGATGTCTCCTGCTCTCTGCATCCCAGACCCAGAAACAGGCTGGGCTTTCTATTTGATAAACATTCCCTATTGTTTGTTTTTATGAGACAGGGTCTCAATATGCAGCCTAGGCTGGCTTCTACTGGATTATCTTCTACCTTAGCCTCCCAAATGCTGTTATCCCATGACTAGGATTCCAGCTAAATGCTCTCCGTTGTTGACAGGTGTTATTAGAGTAGCAACTGAGAGAGACTAGCTGTAGACAATTAAGGAAGCAGACCTCAGCACTCACATCTTATGCCGAGGTAAAAATGGAGCAGCAATACCCCCAGAGTCTGCTCCCACTGCTGACCCAGATGACCCAGTATGCCTGTCAGTGACACCAGAGTGACTGTGCTTGTCACTGTCACATTTCTGACCATTGGAACTGTTCATCCTGTAAATCTCACTGTCTATGTATCTTTATCCATTTGAGTCTTTGGTACAAAGGTTTAAAAGCAAAAGGAACCCCTGTAAACTCAAACCATGTTACTGTGCTAGTTAAATGCTCCCTCCTCTTCTCTGGTGCTCTGAATTGGTTCCTCCTCTGCCTTTTCTGTAAATCTAGCAAGCTCTAAGAGCAGAAACAGTTTCTCTGGTCAGTGGTGCAGCCTTTGTTCTTCCTGCTTTGTTTTGGGGGGGGGGCAGTAGGAAAGGGTTTATCTGGTTTACAAGTTACAATCCATCAAGAGAAGCCAAAGCAGGAACACAAGGCAGGTGAAACGGGGAGAAAGTGCGTCCCCTAGAGGTTTCTTAGTCTCATTCATAAAAGAATTTAAGAATGGACCCAAACGGAAGTTTTTAGGACAATTTTATTGGAATTTTAAAGAAAAATCCGCAGGGCACGCGAGCTGGTAATCTTGGCAGCTGCCTTGAGGGGGTGAATAGCCCCCTGATGGAAAGAAAGCTAAGAAGCCATGCAGGTTTAGAGCCTGCATGGAGGTCAGATATATGGCTGACTGGCGGCCACATGGCTGGGAGAAGGAAGCTTTAGAGGAAAAAGTAAAGAAATACAAGATGCTAGGGGCAGCCCAAGGCCTTAAAGCATACTTAGAAAAGGAATATAGAGAAGAAAAGGAGAGGCTGTCTTTTCCGAAGAATTCAGAAAGGAGGGCACACTTACAGAGACCTACATGTCGCTGTGTCCAGAAGCCCTGCCCTTCTTCCTGCTGTGTGAAGCCACCAGAGTAACCCAGCAAGAATAGTGTAAGGGGTTGTCAAGTCCAAGGCCTCTCAAGGTGTGGGGTCACTGGAGCAAGGCTCAACCCTCACTGACCCTGCCTGGTTTCTTCTGGTTTCTTCCTGTTGCCATACAAGAAACATCTGTGACTGGGCTCACAGCTTTCATGGGGAGCAGGATCCTCCTGTCCCACATGCAGGCTAGCTCCCATGCACGTCAGGTGAGCTGCTGTCTATCATTCTGGAAGGATCTGTTCTCCTATCCGCAGATTTCCTTAGATGCTGGCCTGAGGTGCATGGAGCTTGGAAATGAGCCTTTGGCCCTGGCAGAGGTTGTAGTTTGTATTGTCCCTCCTCGGCTTCAGGGTCCTTAGTGAGGTGCAGATAGAGATGATAGATTGACAGTAATGACTGCACTGGGTGGTGGGAGGTTATGTGATTTCTGCCATTTTTGTCCTAGGTCTGCCACCTCTTCCCGCACTGCCTCCCCGAAACTTAACTGGCATTGCACCTCTCCCCATGCCGTCTGAGTTCCTCCCGTCATTCCCTTTGGTTCCAGAGGGCTCTTCTCCAGCCAATGCAGGGGAGCCACTGTCTTCCCTTCCTGCCACCGGCATCCCAGCTTCTGACCCTGTTACTACTACTGCAAAGGCAGATGCTGCCTCCTCCCTCACTGTGGATATGACGACCCCAACTTCCAAGGTCCCCACCACTGTTGAGGACAGAGCCAGCGACTCTACCCTAGCCAGCGAGAAGTCTGTTTCTGCAGTTACGGATGCAAATGCTTCTGAGTCATCTTAACTCAGAACCGATCTTCAGAATCGGCGTGGGCTATTTAACTGCGGGATCGCATCTGGAATCTCAAACTATCGTTGATTTCATACTAGTTTGTACCATATCTGTAGGCGTCCTGTACATAATTCTAAGGGGAAAGTACACAAGAGGCCAAAGGCTTATCTCCTTTGGATGGGCCCATGGCCACAAAGGGGAATGTGAGAAAGTGCTTATATTTTAAACAACCAAAAAGAATTCTAAGGGTGACTTGCTGCCAGGCATCCACTGCCATTCTGGCGTGTACATCTTTGGGAAAGGAGATGGCAGGGTGCCTGCTAGGTCCCCGTCCCCCTGCTACTCCTAAGAAAATGAAATACTTTATGCCTAGTGCCCACATGCAACATTTCTTGTACTTTGTAAATTGTTTGCAAGAATGCAGACCACCTCACTAAACTGTAAAAGAAAAAGAGAATTTACTTTTGGTCTCTGTGAGTCGCATCTTTATTAAGGTTTACATAAAAAATTCCAGTTGAAGATGTTTGTTAAAGTTACACAATGTGCACTATTAATTGGACATCTTTTTATTCTGCCTATACACAGATCCTTGTGTTGCACTCTCAGAATTGCTCAGACAATATTTTGTAACTGCTGCTGTTGCTTTATACGCCCACCATAAGATGGCATTTAAAGAAAAATAAAGGAGATACTGCAGTTTTAAACCAGAAAGTAGCACTCTGTGGCTACATAACAGCTATACTGAGAGAGCACAGATACAGCAATAAATTAGTCATTTTACTTTTCTTCTTGTGTTACATTTGAATGACACACATCAGTTGTAACGTGTGCACTTCGTCTGCTGTTGGATGTCTCACATCTTTGTTTATGGTTTGCTTTTTTAAGTTTTCCAAGAGATGCTAAATTAACCAGAATTGAGTCACTGAGTGTAAACTAAATGCATATTCTAGTCCAGTTTTTTAAAATAAGCTGTAAGTGACTCATTGGCTGTTGACCCAGTGTTAGTATAAAGACACTCACCCTGCAGGGATGACCATTGCTGAGGTGGAACACACATACCTCACCTCTGACACTCAACCTGGGAACTAGAATTACCAGCCCTCAGCCCAGCATCTCTGTCGGGAGGCACAGTGCCAGCCAGTTTTTAGAGTGTTCATTTCTAGAGCCAAATATGTGTGTAAAGTTGAGTGATACACAAGGCTCCAGCAATCCCAGGAGGACCCCTGAAGCTTGCTGGCCAGTCAGTCTACCCAAATCTGCAAGCTCCAAATTTAGTAAGAGACCCTGGCTCAAAAAACAAGGTGAAGAGCGATTGAGGAAGTCATCCAACATTAGTTTCTGGCCGATGCACACGCACACATGCACATGCACATACATGCATTAAGGAAAAATGTAGCTGTTAAGGCAATCCCATAGTGTAAAGCAAAGTGAGCAATTTGATGATTTAATGAAATGAGCTATATAAATGATTTAACAGAAGTCCCTTCAATGAAGGGCTTCTTAATCTTTGTGAGTTTCTCATTTGAGAATGATAGCCATGGGCCATTTCTTGGAAAGAAGTCTGTGAGTGTATATGAAACCCTAAGTTTGGAGGAGACCCAACACTCATGGAGGATGACACAGATTTGGCCTAGACTGGCTTGGTGAATCTTCCCTAAAGTATAAAACTTGCATATCCTCTATCCAGGAAAACATCAGTCTCTTAGTGGGTACTAGGGATGAAACCCAGGGCCTTGAGCATGTTGGCCATCCTTAGTTCACGTATTATAGGGACTAGTAATTCTGTGCAGTATGTCACCCCCTGTGGCAGGTGAGGGAACTTGTTCTTAGGGGTCCCCAGGGTAAGTGCTATAGTCATGGAGGTGGAGCTGCATGACAACTTTCTGGGTCGGGGGGAGCGTTGCACAGTCATGTCACTAAGCATATGCCAGGCTCATCAGTGATGGGGGAAGGGCATTTGTTTGGATTAGGCTTACTTGCCTCAGAAATTCTCAAAACAATAGTGGTTTGAAAAATAAAATTTATCTCCCATGTTGAGATAAGAGGTTGCTGGTCTGAGTCAGACCTGGCCTAGCAGGATTGATTTAGACCTGTAGCTCCATCTGCATATAGTTTCTACTCCTAAGGTCATGGCGTGGTCTTAGATGGCAGCTGGAGACCCAGCCATGTTCAAGCAGAAGAAAAGAAGGACATTTGCCCACTTTTTCAGAGAAGTTTCACACAGCATTGTAACATAAACCATCTACTGGCAAGGAGCCATGTGGCCACATCCAGCTGAAGGAGGCTGGGCAATGGCACCTCTGGTTCTTGCTTTCTCTAAGTGCCATCACCAACCACAAAGGAGAATAGCAGCCATATGGAGCCCTCAAGGTGGACAAATAGAGTGCTACCATTTGTCAACATTTAAAGCAGAAGACACTAAAGGACAGAGCACAGGGAAGAGGCAGCAGGTTTCTGAGGAAACATTTACCATGAAAATGGCAAGAATGACCCAGGTCAGTAGTCATTAGTGTTTGAGCACATAGGCCTGGTGTCCCTGGGATCTTAAGATGTGGCTGCTTCCACATCAGTGTCTTGAAGTGGAGACTTTGTGGGTAGCTGAGGAGAGCTGCTGTCTAGCTGAGCATGAGGGTACCCTCCTGTAATCCCAGCACTTGGGGGATAGAGGCAGGAAGGTCAGGAGTTCAAGGCCAGGCTCAACATATCAGACCATGAGTCTAGGATGGTTTTATCTTTTTATTTTTAATTTAAAAGTCTTAAAATGTGTGTCTCTATGTGTATACACCTGAGGACAATGTCCACAGAGGGCATGAGGGTATCAGATAATTTGAACTAAAATTACAGGCAGTTGTGATCCACCCAGTATAGGTGCTGGGAACTGAACTTGGGTGCTCTATAAGAGCAGTACATGTTCTTAAACTACTGAGCCATCTCTCCAGCCCTGGCTTTACCTTTTAAAAAAAAAAAAAAGTTATTTTACATTCTGTGTGTGTGTGTGTGTGGTATGTATGTGTGTGTTGTGTGTGGAGATCAGAGGACAACTTGTAGGAATCAGGTCTTTTCTACCATGTGGACTCTGAGAATTGAACTCAGTGTCAGGCAAGACCTTTACCCACTGAGCCATCTTGCCAGCCAGCTATATCTTTTCCCTGTTGATTTTTTTTTTTTTTTTTT